ACAGATGAGACAGTGGCTATAGAAGCGCTTGGAAAATGCACTTGTCCTGTTTTATAAAATAAAAAAGGTATTAAATGTGTATTTCTGCCATGTACCTAATGATTATTCAGTGAGTATATATCTGAAAAGGCATGTTGCAAATATTTTTGTGAAACAGATGCTATTTTAAATTCACTGGGAGAAATGTCCTATTTAAAGTAATTCTATAGTAATTTCTTTTTATATAATAAAAATATGTTTGTAAAGTCAACAGACAACTTGTAATTAGTTTGTGTCTGGAAGAATTTGTTTAGAGAAGGCACTCTGCATCCTTGAGAATGGGGTAGCCAAGAGCTAGGATCCTGGCTCTTACTGTTGACTGTTAATAGCTGCATGACCTTGGGCCCAGTTAGGGAGTTACTCTGAGGCTCTTGTTTCCTCATCTGTACAATGGGAAAAAGAAAAAGTACCCATCGCGTAGGGCTGTTGTCGGGTGGGTTCTGCCTGGTGAAAGCATTTAGCAGCTCCCCAGTAAGGAGAGCTTTGGCTTGATGTGTGATGTAGCTGAGCTGGATCCCAGTCCAGATGGACAGTGATCTATATAGACAGCCCTGTCTTCAGCTCTGGTATCTGTGAGGATTCAAGGTGAACGTGCATTTTGTGCCCCAAATGGGACCTGGCCTGTTGCGAACACCTTACAATTATAAGCAGGGTGTTTCCAGGGCTGTTTGAGCAATAGAGGGCTGACACCAATAGGTTCCTGGTTATCCAGATATACTTATATTTCTAGAGTAGGATTTTATGTATTTTTGGAGACGTCAGTGAATCCCCTTGGGACTTGGATGAAAGCTCTAGACCTCTGCTACATACAGACATACATACATATGCATTCTGAGTACTTGAATTCCAGACCTTCACGGGCACCATGATGTCTTTTCGTGGATCCCCCATAGGGAAGCCCTGAATTATTATTTTTTTTTAGGTTAATAGAGGATTTAAAAACCCAAACAGTACAAAGTTTCCATGGTGAGAAGGCAGGCTTTTTCTCAATGGGATCTTAGTCTCCAGTTTCTTCTTCCCAAAGGCAACCACTGTCACTAGGTTGGAGTATCCTTCCAGAGGTGATGGAAAACAGAGGTGATGCTCAACTTGATTAGTCATCAGGGAAATGCAAATCAAAACCTCTATGAGATGCCACTTCACATTCACTAGGATAGCTATAATAAAAAAGACAAAAACAAGTGTTGGCCGTGATGTGGAGAAACTGGAGCCACACACACTGTTGGTGGGAATTGAAAATGGTGAGCACTTTGGAAAACAGTTTGGCACTTCCTCAAAAGGTAAAAGAGTTTCCATATGACCTAGCAATTCTACCCCTAGGTACCTACCCAAGAGAAATGAAAACATGTCCACACAAAGGCCTCCATACCAGTGTTTATAACAGCATGAATCATAATAGCCAAAAAATAGAAACAACCCAAATATTCATCAACTGATGAGTGGATAAATGAAATGCGGTCTATTCATAAAATGGAATATTCAGCCATAGAAAATAATTAAGTGCTTGTGAAAAGTAAAGTAGAGGTTCCTCTTCAAAGACTTTCCTCCTTGTCTAATTAGGAATAAATAGTAACTTCTCTTAGAAGCAAAATTTATTCAAAGACCTGTGCTAACATTCTTAAATATCTGCCAGCCATACTAAAGAAATCAATGTACTTTATGTTCTTAGCTCCCACAATTTAGCCTAAATATTTGCCCTGGCATGGTTATACTGGTCCAAGCAAGCATCAAGTCATAGCCTGTTTCTCTTCCTTATTTGAAAATGTTTTTACCTTTCTCAGCATTCCACAAGTTACTTCCTCCTTCCTTTGTTCTCCTCTGCCTTTGCCTCTTTTAAAAAGTTTTAAGTTGCTAGCCAATCAAGACAAATACAGAATGTGAAGTCCTGTTCCGTCTATGGGAAAACTGGACACAGCAGTAGGGTGGATATGTCAGGTTATAAATGACCCTGGCTCCTTTGTTCGGTGTACTCTTGTGGCAAAACTGCTGGTGAGTGTACCCTTTCTGCAGAAAGTATAAAAATGACCTTGCTGAGAAAATTAATGTTCAAGTGCTATTTTTTTTTTTTTTTTTTTTTTTTTTTTTGAGACGGAGTCTTGCTCTGTCGCCCAGGCTGGAGTGCAGTGGCCGGATCTCAGCTCACTGCAAGCTCCGCCTCCCGGGTTTACGCCATTCTCCTGCCTCAGCCTCCCGAGTAGCTGGGACTACAGGCGCCTGCCACCTCGCCCGGCTAGTTTTTTGTATTTTTTAGTAGAGACGGGGTTTCACCGTGTTAGCCAGGATGGTCTCGATCTCCTGACCTCGAGATCCACCCGTCTCGGCCTCCCAAAGTGCTATTTCTTTACAGCACCGGGAAACAAGTATTTCAAACATACTGACACATGTTACAACATGGATGAACCTTGAGATCATGGTAAGCAAAAGCAAGTCACATATTGTATGATTCCATTTTTAATTTTGTCAGAATAGGCAAATCTATCAAGACAAACTAGATTACAGTCTTGCTGAAATTATAGGAGTGAGCCACCAGACCAGCTGGTCATATACCCTTTTTTTTTTTTTTTTGAGACAGAGTCTCACTCTGTTGCCTAGGCTGGAGTGCAATGGCGCGATCTTGGCTCATTGCAACCTCCGCCTCCCAGATTCAAGCAATTCTACTGCCTCAGCCTCCTGAAAAGCTGGGATTACAGGCGTGCACCACCATGCCCTACTAATTTTTGTATTTCTTTTTATTAGAGATGGGATTTCACCATGTTGGTGAGGCTGGTCTTGAACTCCTGACCTTGTGATCTGCCCACCTCGGCCTCCCAAAGTGCTGGGATTACAGGCATGAGCCACCATGCCTGCTGCTCATACACTTTAAATGAGTAAACTTTATGGTATATAAATTATATTTTAAAGCTGTTAGAAACAAACACACAAAGTGGTTACCCTCAGGCATTTGAAAAAAAAAAGCCACATTTATCTTTGTATGCCACTCCTCTCTATTTAGCCACACATGTATTTTGTTCATGCTTTTTTTTCTAGGTCCTTTGTTTTTTCATGTCTTTCTTGGCCATTGCTCCTCAACAGTGAGTTTAGATGACTTCATTCTTTTTGCCTTACATTCCATTGTATGGATATTCCTTAATGTATATAACTACCTCCTACTGATAAAGATTGAAGTTTTGTTTTCATTCCAGCTACTACAGACAAGGCCACCTTCCAAGGAGATTGTATCAATTCACACGTTCATCAAGGATGTATGGGGGTGCATTTCCTCACATCCTCAGCCACAAGGTATATTATCTTGCTTTTTGATTATTGTCAATCTAATGAGTGGAAAATTATAATTTTATATGTACTTTTTATTTTTTTTAATTTTTTCTTTTTTTAGATGGAGTCTCGCTTTGTCGCCCAGGCTGGAGTGCAGTGACACGATCTCACCTCACTGCAAGCTCTGCCTCTTGGGTTCACGCCATTTTCCTGCCTCAGCCTCCTGAGTAGCTGGGACTACAGGTGCCCGCTACCACGCCCGGCTGTTTTTTGTATTTTTAGTAGAGATGGGGTTTCACAGTGGTAGCCAGAATGGTCTCCATCTCCTGACCTCGTGATCCGCCCGCCTCGTGGCCTCCCAAAGTGCTGGTATTACAGCCGTGAGCCACCACGCCCGGCCATATGTACTTTTTTAATGGCTGAGGTGGAGCCATCTTTCTTATTTTTAAGAGTGTTTGATAACTTGTTTTTGTTCATTGCTTCCTTTGCTTTTTTTTTTTTTTTCTTTTTCCCTGAGATGGGGGTCTCACTTTGTCTCCCTGGCTGGAGTGCAGTAGCATAATCTTGGCTCACTGGACCCTCGACTTTCCAGGCTCAAGGGATCCTTCCACCTCAGCCTCCTGAGTAACTGGGACTACACATGTACACCTCCACAAGTGGCTAATTTTTGTGTTTCACTAGAGACAGGATTTTGCCATATTGCACACACTGGTCTCGAACTCTTAGCCTCAAGCGATTCACCCGCCTCGGCCTCCCAAAGTGCTGGGATTACAGACGTGTGCCACTGGACCCAGCCTCCTTTGCCAGTCTTAATACTAAGTTATTATTTTGGGAGAATTACTACATCGAATATCGGCCCTTTGTCATATGTTTCGAGTATTTTTCTAAATTTGTACCTTGTCTTTGATTTTTTCTTTTCTTTTCTTTTTTCTTTCTTTTTTTTTTTTTTTGAGACAGGGTCTTGCTCTGTCCTCCAGGCTGGGGTGCAGTGGCGCGATCATAGCTCACTGCAGCTCCGACCTCCCGGGCTCAAGTGATCCTCCCACCTCAGCCTGAATAACTGGCAGCACGCCCAGCTAATTTTATTTTTTGTAGAGATAGGGGGTTGCACCATGTTGGCCAGGCTGGTCTCTAACTCCTGAGCTCAAGCATTCTCCCGCCTCGGTCTCCCAAAGTGCTGAGATTGCAGGCGTGAGCCACCGCTCCCGGCCGTCTTTAATATTTTTCACCAGGCGGATTTTGTGTAGTCTTTTTTTTTTTTTGGTGGCTTCCAATTCTTCCCCTTTCTGGGTGTGTCACTTGGTCTCTCTGAGCCACAGTTTTCTGCTCTATAAAGTGGGGTGACAATGCTCAGCATACGGCTTGCTTTGGCTCGATGAGCGAATGTAGGTCTGAAAGCTTCCGGCACAGGGGCCGACGCTGAGGGGAACGGCGTTAACTTAAGCGCGTCCACGGACGCTGCCTGCCTGCACAGTTGGCTGGCCTCAGCTTCCCGCTGTTCAAGCCCACGTGAGTGGCTCCGCCCCATCTGGCTTCTGACCAATGGACGAGCTTCCTAAGGCGTACCGTCCCGACTCTAAGCCGCTTGGCTACGAGACGGGCTCCGTCTTGCTCGGAGTCCCGCCCCTTGCCGGGTCGAGCAATGGGCGCCTTCCGTTTGGCGCAGGCCCCGCCCCTGCCGCTCTCCGGCCTGCGGGCCGCAGGGCTCGTTCCGGAGGGCGGGCGCCACGGAGGCCGGAGTGGTCGCAGCTCGGGCGGAGGCCGGGTGGGGCGGGGTTGTAGGGCTGGGGCAGGCGGCGGGCTGCCCGGCGGGACAGCGGCGGCAGCCAGCCGGGGGCGTCCTGAGTTGGCGGACGGGGGCGCTGCCAGCTCCCGAGGGGGCCGCTCGGGCCCCTTCCGGCCCGGGTCTGGTCGGGCCGCAGGAGCAGGGCGGGCTGCGGCGCCCAGTCTGACCCTGGCCTAGGGACTGAGCGCCTGGCCCCAGGGCTGCCGGTGGGGCAGCCATGTGTGGTTCTTGAAGCGCCATGTGGTCTTCTGAAGCGCTTTTACAGTTCTGAAGGGCTTTATATTGCAAACTGATCAAAGCGCTTTGTAGCCCCGGAAGCGCTTAGGCATCCTCGAAGTAGGGCTGTGCAAAGTGAAGCGCTTCGTGATCTCAAAAGCACGTTGTGGACTTGGAAACCAACGGAAGCCTTTAGTAAATTTTGGATCGCTTTGACTTCTCCGACTCGGTTTGGCATTTCTGAAACCTTGAGAACTGTGATGGGCAGTGGAAAGAAGAGGGAAAGGTCAGTGAGGCTAGCCTGTGGCTCTGCCCTTGTGTCTTGCCCTCCCCTTGGGCGGGGGGGCGGTGGGAATGTGAGGTGGGACCGCCAGGAAGGGTGGTGTTGGAATCCAGGCCCCCTGTACCTTGCAGGTGCCCATGGCGTCCGAGCGGGGCAAGGTCAAGCACAACTGGAGCAGCACGTCGGAAGGGTGTCCCAGCAAGCGCAGCTGCCTCCGGGAGCCCTGTGATGTGGCCCCCTCCAGCCAGCCAGCTCAGAGGTCTGCATCGCGTTCTGGAGGGCCCGGCACCCCCAAGCGCCTGAAAGCCCAGAAGGAGGACGATGTGGCTTGCTCGCGGAGGTTATCCTGGGGCTCATCCCGCCGCAGAAATAACTCCTCCTCCTCCTCCCCCCATTTCTTGGGCCCAGGTGTGGGCGGGACCGCCTCCAAAGGCTGCCTGATTCGAAGCACTGGGGGGTTCCTGTCTTCAGGGGGATCCCCTCTGCGTCCTGCCAACGCCTCTTTAGAAGAAATGGCTTCTCTAGAGGAGGAAGCCTGCAGCCTTAAGGTAGGTGGCTGCCACGCTTTGCAATCTGTGAAACCGCTTCCACATGGCTTGAGAGGTTGGGGATGGGAATTCTGATGGAAGGAGACTGTAAAACATCACATTCTTGAAGGTCTGGAGGATCTTCCTAGAAGTCCGCTCCACCCAACTCGAAGACCAAGCAGTCTTCCAGGGGCGTGGCCTGAAGTTAAGTAGAGAGGTAGTTTTCAAATTCGGCAGCACTTTGGAACTACTTGGAAAGCTTTAAAATACTTGGGCCTACCTCCTACCCCAGAGAAACTGATTTGTTGGTCTGAGGTGTGGTCTGGGCTTCCAGATTTTTCAGTGCTCCCCAGGTTATTGTAAACGTGCAGCCCCGTTGGAGAATCACTGCAGTAGAAGGTGGATTATGTGTTCAAGAGAAGGATGTATTTATTTTAGTTGTCAGTTTAAGGAATTGTGTGTCCTTGTACTTTGAACCACTCTGCATCACAGAACCAAGAATTGTGGTTCTTGGTGTAGCTCTCTTCCAAAGTCATGGTTTCCAGCATGTTGGGGTTTTGCTTGGTGGTGCTAGTTTTTTTTTTTTTGGAGGTTAAATTGTTAGTTCCCTAATGGAAACATGCAAGAGGGTTTCATAAGTACTTGGAGCAGACCAAGGAGTGCTTCACAGAGAAGATACATTTAGCTCATCTACTCAATCAACACAACAAATATGTGTTGAGGGTTTAGTTTGTGCCGGGCAATGTTCTAGGTGTTTGGGATTCTTTACTAACAAAACAGATCACTTTCCCCTTAGAGTTTGCATCCTAGGTTTTGAAGCTCTGGATCTTAAGAAGTGAGAGGTTCTGCCTGTGGAGGAGAATGGAGAAACAGTTTTATTTGGGATGAGACGGGCTGCCTCTAGAGAAAATTATTTTACAAAAGCAATTAAAACAGGCCCTAAGGAATATGGGTTTGTTTTTAAGCCTAGCCTTGGTGGTTTCTTTTGTGTAGCTGAGAAAGGAGGCTGTATTTCACTTTGTTTTGGGGACTCATAGGCTAAGTGTCCCTGGTTTTTTCATGTGGACCTCACTGTCTGAACTTTTGTGTGGGCGCGTGGATTTTTTCTTTTTAAATTCACAAATAATGGTGAGTTGAAAAGCCCTGTCTCTAGCGTAGGAATGCTGAATTTGTCTCAAATCAGGTAAGTATGGGACTTTGCTCCTTCTTGATACAGTTTCAGTAGACTTGGGTACAGCATAAAATAATACCAATTGATTAAATTTAGCTTCACTGACAATTTATAGATAGAGTGAAACCTGGTACTGGGAGAGGCAGGAAATTTATTTTACATAGTCTTTCAGGTGTGCTGAATCCCTGGCTGTCCTAAAGATCTGGAACTCGGGTTTGAGGATGTGGTCTCTAATCTGGGTGGGTCTGATTGTAGGATGGACCCACCTTTCTCTCATTAAGGCTAAAGGAGCCTTGTTTTGCAAGAACCCAATTTAATGGTTTCAGTATAAGCGCTTGAGGGTTATTGCATGCCAAGCACTGTTGGGTCTGGGAGTGATGAGCTTCTAGGGAGCAGTCTGGTGGGAGGACTGGAGGGATGGTCACATGACTGCCTACAATGTGGTATGATGGAGCAGTGAGCCCAGGAGGCTGGAGAGCGAGGTAGGGGGCGGACTGCAGCAAGGTTTTAGTAGCCAAGGGAATTTGGATTTTATCCTGAGGGCAATGGATTTTATTCTAAGGGACAATTCCCTTATAATTGTATTCTTTGTTTTTTTTTTTTTTTTTGAGACAGAGTCTTACTGTATCACCCAAGATAGAGTGCAGTGGCGTGATCTCTGCTAACTGCAACCTCCACCTCCCGGGTTCAAACAGTTCTCCTGCCTCAGCCTTCCAAGTAGCTGGGACTACAGGTGTGCCCATGCCCAGCTAATCTTTGTATTTTTAGTGGAGATAGGGTTTCGCCTGGTTGGCCAGGCTGGTCTCGAACTCCTGACCTCAAGTGGTCTGCCTGTCTCAGCCTCCCAAAGTGCTGGGATTACAGGTGTGAGCCACCAGGCCTGGCCAATTGTATTCTTTTTTTAAAAACTTATTTTATTTTTTTGAAACTATTTGGCTGGAGTGCAGTGGCACAATCATGGTTCACTGTAGCCTCGAACTCCTGGGGTCAAACAGTCTTCTTAAATAGGTGAGAATATGGGCATGTGCCACCACACCCTGCAGATTAAAAAAATTTTTTTGGGGCCGGGTGCAGTGGCTCACGCCTGTAATCCCAGCACTTTGGGAGGTCAAGGCGGGCGGATCATGAGGTCAGGAGATCGAGACCACCCCTGCCTAACACAGTGAAACCCCGTCTCTACTAAAAATACAAAAAATAATTAGCTGGGTGTGGTGGCAGGTGCCTGTAGTCCTGGCCACTTGGGAGGCTGAGGCAGGAGAATGGCATGAACCTGGGAGGCAGAGCTTGCAGTAAGCCAAGATCAAGCCACTGTACTCCAGCCTGGGCGACAGAGCAAGACAGTCTCAAAAAAAAAAAAAAAAAAAAAAATTTTTTTTTTTATAGAGATGAAGGTCTCGCTCTGTCGCCCAGGCTGGTCTCAAACTCCTGGGCTCAAGCTGTCCTCTCACCTTGTCCTCCCAAAGCACTGGGATTAGAGGCATGAGCCACTGTACCAGCTGGATTGTCTTCTAAGCAATTAGAATTTATACAAGGCTCTACACAGAAAAGGAAATTGCATTGTAGAAACATCACTCTTTTGAAGATTTTTTTTTTTTTTTTGAGATGGCGTCTCGCTCTGTCACCCAGGCTGGAGTGCAGTGGCCGGATCTCAGCTCACTGCAAGCTCCGCCTCCCGGGTTTACGCCATTCTCCTGCCTCAGCCTCCCGAGTAGCTGGGACTACAGGCGCCCGCCACCACGCCGGGCTAGTTTTTTGTATTTTTTAGTAGAGACGGGGTTTCACTGTGTTAGCCAGGGTGGTCTCGATCTCCTGACCTCGTGATCCGCCCATCTCGGCCTCCCAAAGTGCTGGGATTACAGGCGTGAGCCACTGCGCCCGGCCGAAGATTTTTATATTATCCTGATTGTCCATCTCTAGGACTGCTGAGGTCTCTTCCTGGAGCATATGTTTGTCAGTTTAAAAACCAAGTGTACAGTACTTGATTCATTTTGAGGAATTACAGAACACCTCTTACCTTCCACCTTCATCTGTACCTCTTCCTCCCTTGCTCTGCAGTCATCTGTGAACTTGTTTGTCCTGGTCCTAAGTCCTTCAGCAAGCACAGCCGAGGAGTTCTCACAAAAAGCATGTTCGTCTTCAGGTCCTTCTAGAGTCCTCCCACCACTCTCCTGTGTTGGCTCTGTAAACTCTTTTTTTTTTTTTTTTTTTT